CACACCACACCAGAACCCTTATTCTGGGTTCCTACAGCCATCCTGATCACTCTTTCCACAACTGTTTACACACCAGATTATAACAACATCTCATTATGGGTAGATGATATGTCAGGCACCATTCTAAGCACCCAACACATATCAAATCCTCCTGAGGAACTTAGGTTTACTAGCCCCCATGTTACAGGCGATGACACTGAGATTCAGAAAGGCTTGGCAACTTGCCCAAGGCCACAGAGCCTATGACATTTCTTCCCAAAGCATCCAGTCTGCCCTGGTGGGTCCAGGCCTCCCCCACATCACTACAAGGCTCCCAACCCTTCACCTGTGAACCAACATCAGCTCCTCCTTTTCGGCGAACCGGGCCTGGCGAGACACAAGGAACAAAGGGCTAAGGCGCTGGCCATGCCCAGGTCCTGCCAGCTCCTGCCCTCCACCCAGAGTGTTGGCCGGGGGACTCACCTGAAAGGACACGCAGCGGTCCAGGAGGCCCTCCTGGATCAGCTGCTCCTTGATGGCATGGAGCCGCTCAGGGCCTTCCGGGAAGCTGGGTTGACAGAGATACAGTCACACGCACATATAGATATATGCAGGGACACTGATGAGCAGCATATCAGCCCCTGCACATCTTCCCATCCATCCTTCCACAGCTGCTCATACCAGAAGCTTTGGGGTCACCCTTGGTGACTGTTGGCTCCATTCTCACAATATATCCAGGGCCTGCCCCTCTCTTTATCACCTCCACTGCTGCCACCATAACCTCCTGCCTAGGCTACTGCAGTCAACTCATCACTGGCCTTCCTGCTTCTGCCCTCACTCCCCCAATAGTTGTTTCTCTGCACAGCAACAGACATTGGTTAAAACCTATATCAGAGGCCGGCCGAGTGGCTCGTTGGTTAAGAGTTGGCTTGGGAGCACGAGCTCTGAGCAGCAGGGCCCCCGGCTCAGATCCCACATGAGGGCCAGTGACGCTGTGCCCTCTAGAGCTAAGATGGTGAACAAGAGCTTGACCTGGAGCTGGGCTGTCGTGGGCTGCTGTTCACTACCATGAGTGGCTGGCAGCCAGCGTGAGTCGTCAGCAGCTGGTGTGAGCTGCCGTAAGTGGCCATACAATGGCCGGCCAGCGATCTGCCTCAGCTGGGAAGAGCGCAATGATAATACCAACATGGGCCAGTGAAGTGACATCCTCCACAACTAGACTGAAGAACCAAAGGACAGCAACTTGTCTGTTCCACTTCCCCGATTCCCCAAAGCTGTTCCCTCCCCCAAATCCCCAATATAATCTTTAAAAAAAACACACCTAAATCAGATCATGTCCCATCTCTACTCAAAACTTCTCTTGGCTCCCATCTCATTAAACCAAGTACTTTTCAGCTAGCTCTCCTCCCTGCCTAGAACAGTCTGCTCCCAGATGTCTCCATGGCTGTCTCCCTCACCTCCTTTAGGTTCCGGCTCAAATATTAGCGAGGCCTTCCCTGCCCATCCTATTCAAAACGGAAGAGTCCCCTCCACTGTGTTTTCTGCTACTCTCCCTCCTGCTTCAGTGTTTCTCTACAGCACTTGTCTAACACATTGTACTATTCACTTTTTGTTTGTTGACTCTGTCTCCCCCCAGAAAATGTAGTCTCCACAAAGGCAGGGTTTTTTTGTTTATTTTGACCATTGCCACATCCCTAGCTCCTCAGGAGATAGTAGATCTGCATCAATAATGAAGTCTTTTGGGCCAGCTGAGTGGGGCATTGGGTAAGAGTTGGCTTGGGACGCCAGCTCTGAGCAGCAGAGCCCTGGTTGGGATCCCACATTAGGGCCAGTGATGCTGCACTCTCTACAGCTAAGATGGTGAACAACAGCTTGACCTGGAGCTGTGCTGCCGTGAGTCTCCGGCCACGGCGGCAGTGAAGCTGCAGTGGGCTGCCATAAGCTACTGTGAGTGGCTGGCAGCCGGCGTGAGTGGCCGACAGCCAGCGTGAGCTGCCAAGAGCTGCCGTGAGCGGCCGTCCAGTGGCCGGCGACCGATTTGCCTCACCCGGGAAGAGCGCAATGATAATACCAACATGGGCCAGTGAAGCAACGTCCTCCACAACTAGACTGAAGAACAAAAGAACAGCAACTTGTCTGTTCCCCTTCCCCAATTCCCCAATAAAAATCTTTTAAAAAAATGAAGTCTTTTGACATCCTGAGTCTTCCATTGGGTTAGAAGAGATAGATCTTCAACTGGTAAACACATAAGTATAATGACGAGCAAACAATGACATGGGTTAGGAAGAGCTTGAAGATCAGGTGTGGGGAGAGGGCAGTGACCAGGCAAAGCTCTCTCTGAGAAAGTCTCCTTGAGATATGAATATTAACTGGGAGGCGAGAAGGTACAAACTGATCTCTGGAAGAGAGATTGCCAGGGTGAAGACCCAAGATGAGGGAATGCCTGGCATGTTGGACGAACAGCAAGGGAACCAGGGTGGGTGAAGTGAAGCAAAGCAAATGAGGGGGAGGATTAGTTGATGAGGTCACCAAGGTGATGTGGAGCCAGATCACATGGAATCTGAGAGGCCAGGATGAAGAATTTGGACTTTACCTTGAAGGCAATGGTCTGCCCTTGAAAGATTTTTAAAAAGAGAACATCATCTCATACATGTTTTTTTAGGTTGCTGTGTGGAAAACAGACAGCAGAGGTAAGGGTGGAAGCAGGAGACCGGTCAGGAGGCCTCTGCAAGTCTCGGTGAGTGATGATCGGTGGTGGCAAGGAAGGCAGTGAGGAAAGGTCAGATACTGAATACATTTCGAACATGGAGCCAAAAGAATTTGCTGATGGATTACATGTGTGAGCGAATGGGAAGTGTAATTCTTCTGTTTCAGTATAAACATCGCTTCTTCAAGGATGCCTTCTGGGAACCCTGGATGCTAGTCTAGGATTTCTAGTAAATATTCTTAAAGTCCCTGGTCTTAAGCCCTCCTTCATTAAACATTTCACACTGCTGTTGGCTGTTTAATGATCTGCTCTACTCACCTATCAGCTCCTTGAGAAGGGACCCTGTCTGTCGTGTCCAACACATTTGTATGACCAACTCCTGGCACACAGTAGGCACTCAATAAATGTTTGCTGGCTAAATGAAAAGAACCCTTTCAAGCCTGAGCCCCATCTCCCTAAGTCGTCTGCTTCTGGTCTCTAGGCTAGTGTAAAAAGGATTTGTGTTTGCTAATGGCTCTAAGTGTGAATATTTGTGTGGTTCGGGGACAGCCTAGAGGAGTCAGCCTCACCTGTCATCCCAGAGGCAGTGGAATTCATTTAGCTGCTCATCGAACACCAAGCCAGTACCAGACAGTGTCTTGGCCTCAAGGTTCAGATCCTGCAAGGAAAAAAATGGGAGACACCGATCCATTTAGGGCCTGAGTCAGAGGGAACATCCCATGCTGACCAGGATGGAGAACCTCAGGGTTTTGATTGTCACCGGAGGCTAAATTGTGGCCAGGCCACTCTCACCAGCCCTTGCAGGCCGACGATTAGGTCTTGCCCTGTTTCTTGGCTTTGCTTCTTCATTCTGCCTTTCTTCTTAACCTCCGCTAGTTTGGGGCTGGAGCGGAGTACGGCACCCTTCTTAGCACCTCGCTTCTGCCAAACAGAAAGAAGGGTCAGAGTCCACTGCACGGCCGGCTGCTTCCCCTCCCCCTCATCAGAACGGGTCTGGGGCCTCACCGAGGTGACGCTGGAGTCGTGGGGGGGCGAGTGGGGGTTGTGCCTACTCCTTCGCTGCCTGGTTGTGGTGGAATCCTGACCGGTAGAGGTCATGGTCGGGGAGACTTCACCCCTGACGCGGTTCTGAGGGGTGCAGTGGAGATGACTGAAAGGGCTGGGGTGCCCTGAGGACCCCACATCTCAGTCCCTTACCAGGCCCCGCCCCCTATACTAGTCTCCATCTCTCATGCCATCCTATTCCCCACTGCCTTCTAAACTCCGCCTCTCTCAAGGCCCTCTCCCTCCATTCGGGTGTCTAATTCACCTGGTCCCGCCCATTCCACTAGACTCCACCCCTTTAACTGTATTCTTTCCCCTTTCAAAGTCTTACCTTTTCAAAGAGCAATTAACCCTCAGGCTCAGTCCACTCTAGAGCCTGCTCTTTCCAGCAAATCACCACCCCTTCCGCTCTACCAAGCCCCATTCCCAGGTCCTTTCATTCTTCTGAGCTTCGCAAAGACCCCGCCTCTTCATAGACGCCCTTTCCATCCAATCCCCCAGGATAATCACCCACCCTTTCACTCATCCAGACCCAGACTCAATCCCGGCCCCGGCCCCAACTCCACCCTAAACGAACCACTTAACTCCACCCCTTATCGGGCAGCACCCGCACCTTCCACTGGGCCAGATCCGCCCCTAACGTTACAACAGACCCCGTCCCTCAGGGGACGGCCCCTTTCCTTCTACCAGGCCCCACCCCCCGCCCAAACCCTACCCCTGTCGCTTCCCCAAGAGCCTTCAGCGAGTTTCGAGCCACCTCCCTCCAGCCCCCGCCCCCTCCGTTGACGCCAACCAATCCCTTCGGCTCCACTTCACTGGGCACAGCCCTTTTTTCAAACTCCGCCTTTGGCTAGGACCGCCCAATTCCCGGCGACCTGGGGCTGTGGGAGCCCGAGGCCAGCTTTTCCTCTGGGCCGGGTCTCTCTACTGCCCGCCCAGATTCCGCCCACACAGGGATCATGCTGCAAGACCGCGCCCCTTGTGCTGGCCACACCTCCCGCGAGCTCACAAACGGCGGGTTTGTGCGTCAGACCGCGACGCAGGCCTTGCTGCGCCTGCGCGAAGCGCGCTCCGAAGGTTCGACGCAGCGCTCAAATTCAATTTCGCCCCTCCCGCAACCCCTGCCGCTGTCTCCCTGGCTTTCCTGGTCGCCGTCCCTCCGTCCCTGTCCAGTCACCTTAGGAGCCCTCCGGATCCGCGGCAACTGTGCCGTGCGATGCCTAAAGAGAGCAAACGAGGGAGTTAGGAAAGGGCGTCTTCCCTCCCTGCAGCTTCCCGCGCGGCGCGCCGTGATGACGTGGCGCGGGCGGGCTGGAGCTGGGTTGAAACTGGAGGAAGGTTGGTGGCGGCCAAATGGGAGTGGTGATGATACTAAATGTGGCGAGGATTTTCTAAGTTAATGTTCACGAAGGTGGTACACAGGAAGCACTTACCAAATGTTAGCCATTAATATTTTACCGTGAAAATGGATGGTGGGGCAGAAGGAGTCTTAGTAGGGGCAAGTAGTAAATGATAACAAGTATTATGTGTCAGGCATTGTTGTAAGCCACAACTCTGTGTCGTAGTTCCCATTATTAAGGCTGTTTTGCAGATAAGGAAACTGAGGTTATGCGACTTAGCCATGTGACCTGGGGCAAGTTACTAAACATCTCTGTGTTTCAGTTTCCTCAACTGGAAAATTGTGATAAAATGGTTCCCAGGGACAGAATGGACTCGGGGCGGGGGGGGGGGGGGGAGGCTTTTCTTGGGCGGGACCTCTTCCTGTCAGCCCCCCTCCACCGAGTAACCTTTGCTCCCAAGTTGTAATGGAAAGTGTGTGCCTCGGAGGAAGGGTAGTTGCCCCCTTGCGGCCCCCAGCCAACTCCCTCCCACCCCAGGTCTAAATAGCCCCGCAGGAGGCCGGTTTGTCTTCCTAATCTCCCCTTCTCATTCTTCACCATTTCCTACCGGGGCTGTAGGCTGGGGCCCGAGAGATAAGCGGTCTGGGGTTCAGCATCGCTGACTAACAAACAGATTGACAGCCCCACCACCCACTAGCTGGGCCCTCTGACCCTCTTGAAAACCCCAGTTCCAGCCTTCCTTTCCCTTCCACTCTTCCTGCCTGAATATGTCTTTTGTCCTGGTGGAAGAGGGTCACAGCCCTAAGACCTTTAAACCTCCACATACACCAAAGAAAACACATACAATGATACACACTGAGGAACATTCTGGGGGTGTGATGCCTACAAAATAATAGAGTAGGGTGTCTTGTAAGGGTCAAGGCCCATTTTTCTGTATAGTCAGAAGAGAGGTTTCTGTGAAGCAGAAATCGGCAAACTTTTTCTATGCAGAACCAGATAGTAAATATTTTAGGTTTCGCAGGCCACATATGGCCTCTGGTAAATTCTTTTTTTTCTTCCTTTCTTTCTCTTTAAAAATGTAAAAACAGGCTGCAGCCTGACTTTGTCCAGAATGCCATAATTGACTGGTCCCTGCAGTAGAGTGTCAGTCTTTGGTTTCCTTTATCTGGCTAGGATCCTTTTACAGGATAAGTACAGAGGTTCCATGCTTCCTGGGGAGAGGTATTCCTTTTGTGTGAGGTGTAAGGAGAGGGATTTATGGACAGGGTCTGGTCACTTCTCATGTTCTTCTACTGGGTCAAATGTTTCTGGACAGGGATACCTATAGTTTCCTTAGTGGTGGTCCTCCACTGAACCAAGCAGGGGTTTCTATATAGGACAAGACAGTTGTTTCTAGACAGCTCAAGACTAGGGGTTCCCATACAAGTTCAGGATGGGGTTCCTTATACTGTATTATGACAGGTTCCTACAAAGAGATGAGGTGATCCAGATCAGGGTCATCACAGGTGTTTCTGTACAGGTTCAGAGCTGTATTCATATATTCGAGGCAGTAGAATCAGGTGTTCGTGTCCAGATTCAGTTAAGATTATTATTATTTGGACTAAATTAGGCTAGCTGCTATAACAAACCCAGAATCTCAGGAGCTTAACAAGTAAGTGTTTACTTCTTGCTCATACAAAATCCAATGTGAATAATTACCACTGGTCGTTAATGGACCCAGGCAACTTCCATTTTGTGGCTCTGCTCTCCTCTGAGTCCTTGGAGTTTTCACTATTCAGCTGGTAGATAGGGAAGGAGAGGGAGGATTCCATGAGAGGTTTTTATGGGCCAGGCCTTGAAGTAGTGTATGTCACTCTGCCCACACTTCATGGTTCAGAACTGTCACATGTCCACATCTAACTATAAAGGAGGCTGGAAAAGTGAGCAAGCTTAGGAAGAAAAGGAAACAGGTTTGATAAGCTCGTAGTGGTGCCTGCTACAGGATTCTGTAGACTCTACAGAGCTACGGTGTTGAATGTGGTAGCCACTAGCCACAGTCATGACAGTGGTTCCTCCATAAGATGAGGGTAGGGCTTCCAGAACAAAGCCAGGGCAAGGGCTGTCAGAGAGAGTCACATCAGGGCTTTCCATACAGCTTCAGGAGAGTGCTTCCAACGTGCAAGGTTAGGAGTTCCTATACAGGATCAGGTCAGAGATTACTGTAAACCAGGCAAGTTAAGGATTTCTATTGAAAGGAAAAGGTTTTCTGTAGAATCCAGTCAGAGGGGCCAGTACAGTTGTAGACAAGGCTTCCTGTGAGGGTTCACAGCCATGGGAGCTAACACAGGGTGAGGGCAGGAAGCCCTGTACAGTGTCTGGGCAGAGGGTCCTGTGCCAGGTGAAGCCATAGGTAACTGTATAGAATGAAGTCTGGGCTTAGAGTAGAGGGTCAGAGCAGGGTTTTCCATGTAAGTTCAAGACTGGATCATGGGTTTCTGTGGACTCTACAAGGTAGGGTGTGAGATAGGGATTATTGTGTAGAGTGACGTCAGGGGGTCATTGTCAACAATGGAAGCAAGGGCTCCTGAACTCAATCAGGGTTCCTGAAGAGGCTGCAGATGGGGATTTCTGCAGAAAGAGTCAGGTCCATGGTTCAGAACTAGATTTTATTGTGAGCAAAGTGTTTGTAAAATGCTACCTGGAGGACAGGGCTCCAGTACAGTGTGAGGACAGAGGTGTCCTGTCCAGGGTCAAGGTAGGATTCCTATAGAGAGATCATGGCTCATGACAGAGGGTCAGGATAGGCGTTTCTGTAAGGGGTGGTGCAGGGGCTTCCTTACAGCGTGGGTTCAAAGATTCCCGTGGCAGGACAGGGGTTCCTGCTGTACAAGATGAGGACTGGTGTTCCTGTCCAGGGTCAGGATGGGTTTCCTGTTGATAATACGAGACAGGTTCCCTTAGAGTTCCAGAGCTAGGTTCCTGTACCAGGCTAGGGCTGCAGTTCTTATAGGGAGTAAGGACTGGGGTTCCTGAATAAGGTGGGGCCAGGCACATTTCCAGCACAGGTTCTGAGAGGGGTTTCTTTCTGTTCAAGATGAGAGCAGGGGATCCTACAGGGTGAGAGGGCTGGGATTCTGTGGGGCAGCCGGGTAGGAGGCTTTTACAGGGCCAGGGCAATTCTAGACAATCCCTGTAATGAGTGTGGACTACTGTGATTCTGCAGTGGGCTACTGTGGCGACTAGCTGAAGGGATGCTGTTCTGTTGAGGACAGCTGCTCACCCATTACTATGTTCAGGATATATGGTCCCACAATCCCCATCTCTGGGGCTGCAGGGGAGAAGCAGCCCAGAAGCAAATCCAGATTTGAGTCAATTGAGGAGTGAGTGGTTTAAAAAAGAGAGAAAAGCAGCCCAAGTAAGTGTGAGCAAGACTCGCTCAGTGTGTGTGTGTGTGTGGGGTAATGGCACCATCTAAAATCTACTTGTTAAACTCAACGTGGTCAGGGCAAGTTACTCATCAGAACTGAGCCTCACTTTTTCACTAGTAAAATGAGTACGCGTATACGTACTTTTTTGGCGTATTTTTTTCAGGTGTTAATGAATTAAAGCAACTGAGGCCTCCCAACCATTGCTGACCTACAGTGAGCACAGTAAATGGTGCTGCTTGCTGTTAGGAACCACTGAGTAGTGTGGAGGTTAAGCCATGGTGCCTGGCTCAGCCCTGTGCCATCAGCTGTGTGGCCTTGGTCAAGCCACTTAACCTGTCTGGCTTAGAACGTCACCTGACTCAGTGCATGCTCCTATGTGAGGGGTTTTTTCTTTTTTTTTTTTTTAAGATTTTATTGGGGAATTGGGGGAGGGGAACAGACAAGTTGCTGTCGTTTTGTTCTTCAGTCTAGTTGTGGAGGACGCTGCTTCACTGGCCCATGTTGGTATTATCATTGTGCTCTTCCCGGGTGAGGCAGATCAGTCGCTGGTCACTGGATGGCCACTCATGGCGGCTCATGGCAGCTCATGCCGGCTGCCAGCCACTCACAGTAGCTTACAGGTGCCCACTGCAGCTTCACTGCAGCCTATGCTGTCGCCGGTGACTCATGGCAGCCCAGCTCCAGGTTGAGCTGTTGTTCACCATCTTAGCTGTAGAGGGTGCAGCATCACTGGCTCTAATTTGGGATCCGAACCGGGGCCCTGCTGCTCAGAGCTGGCGTCCCAAGACAACTCTTAACCAACGCGCCACTCGGCCAGCCCGAGGGTTTGTTAAATGAAAGAAAAGATTCTGCTTTGGGGGGAGCAATTCACCTAGGTGAGTTGGTGTGCTGGGGTGGGAGTTGGCACTGTGGGGGTCTCCCCCATCTACAGGGTCTAACTATTCCCCCCAAGAGGCTATTTTGTCCCCCTAATCTCCCCCTCTCATTTTCTACCATTTCCCACAGGGCTGCAGGCTGAGCTGCGCCGCAAGAGATAAGAGATGAGTGACAGGAAGGCCCACGGACAACCCCACGGTCCCAGACTGGCCTTCTGACCGTTTTGCTGGCTACCATTCCAGCCCTACCCCTTCATCCCGTTCCTGTCCTGAGTATGTCTTCTGTCCCTTAGAAGGGGATCCCTAACTTATACCGACTGAAGCTATATATGTTGATACCTCCATACACAAGTGTACACAGAGCTGCTCACATTGTCAGCCACTGAGGGACACTGTGACATGCCAGATTCCGTGCGACATGCTCACATACACAGACTTGCACAGAAATACTGCCATTACCAGACCCACAAAGGCATCCTGACATACAGATCCTTCTGGTCACACTGTTATGTCTCCACACCCTGTCATACATAGTCCTTGTTCAACACTTCAAAAATGTTTATCAATCAAATTCTGTTCCCAGCACACATGGTGTCACACTGGTTCAAAACCACCCTGTGTGGTGCTCAATCACAAGAACACAACCCCACACGTTTCCTCAGCCTCTCGCAGTCACCTGGTGTCATGCACACCATCTCTTGCAGCCTTACCCCCACAGCCACCACCATGCAGTGCAATCAGCCAGTCACACACTGTCTCTCACCATGATGTGTGGGTTCATACACTGTTATAGTTCATACACTGTTACAGTTGCACATCATAACCCACTATTGTGAAGGGTCACATGTGCTGGGTCACAGGTGCTGGCTCACTCAACCTCACATGGTCATCAAACAATCACACACTGTTACATATGCCACCTTCCACGACTCTTTATTCAGTCCCACACAGACTCACACCTCCAATTTCAGGACTTTCTTGGTTTTATTTTACAAAAGCTTTGAAGGTCCAGGCCAAGGGGTGTCTGTGGCCCAGAGGGTGGGGTTGTACTGACTGCTGGCTACAAGAGGGACCCCACCCCTGCCCTGAGGCCATGCTCTGTGCCCTCATGAGCTGAGTGGTGCCACCACAGTGGTGGTGGTAGTCGGAGGCATGGGGCCTGTGGGGAAGGCGCCTGTGGGCGAACCCAACAGGGGCCCCGGGAAAGGCACGAGGTGGCTAACAGGCCCTGACAGCACCATCGGGCCCAGGCCTTGGTAGAGATGGGCAGTACCAGGTGGGCCCAATGTCAAACCTGAGGCCATCTCCCCACAATTCCCACTACCGCTGCCCCCAGCCACCACCATGAAGCCGCCAGCTGGTCCTTCAGCTGCTCCTGCACCTCCCAGACTCGACCCCCGTTTCTTTTTCCCTTTTCCAGATGCCTTGCGGTTTCGCGTCTGAATACCATCCTTCCGCATGGTCAGTGGTCGGTTCACCTGTCAAAATGAAGGCCATGGGTGTTTCCCAACTCCAGATCTTTGCCGCCATGTCTCCACCAGGGACACCCTCTCCATCCCACTCCTTAAGAATAGGAAATTGAGTCGAGGACTACGGGAGCAGGCCCTGGGTGTAGCACAGGTACTGTCCTAAGGAATCGTGAGGTTGTGAGGCCCTGAGCTGGGGAATGACTGGGGAAAGCCTCCAGACCATAGGACTACCTGATGGCTGGAGGGAAGAGGAAAGGAGGAAGGAGATGGGAGATGGAAGAGGGAGAACGGAGCAGGAGGGAATGAAAGGGAGGGGGAGATGGAGTAGAGAAGGGAGGGATGAGGGGGAAGGAGGAGGGAGGAGAATAACAGGGAGAAGAGAAGAAAGGAAGGGAGGGAAGAAGAGCGGGAAGGAGGAGATGCTCAGAGGGGTAGGGCGCACCTGGTGTAGCTTGTAGTAGAGGCCACAGGCATTGCATACGGGGTCCCCGCTGGCATTTCTCCGCCACAGCGTTGTGGTGGTTGTCTGGCAGTTGGTGCACTGGGTACCTGCCCGTTTGCTAACAATCTGGGGGAAGCGAGAATGGGAGGATCAGGGCACTGGGGGGCAGAGGATCCAAGAGGTGAGGATCAGGTTGAAGGCAGGGCTTCCTGTCCAGGATGCGGACTGTGGGTTCTGTATAGGGCGAAGACAGGGCCTCTTGTCCAGGATACGGGCTTTCAGTATTATGTGGGGGACTACATTAGTAGTTCTCAACTTTGGCGGACATTGGAATCACTTGGGGAGTTAAAAACAATCCTGATGCCCAGGCAGCACCCCAGACCAATTAAATCAACACATCTAGGGGAGGGCCCCAAGGTGATCCCAGTGTGAAGCCAAGCATGAAAACGGCTGTGCAGGGAGAGGACAAGGTTCCTGCTCACAGCCTGTGAGGGTAGGTCAAGGATAGGTGCTCCTGTGCAAAGCTGGCTTCCTGTATGAATGGGGAAGGGATGGCGGAGTTGGGCTCTTATAGAGCTTGAGGATAGGGATCATTGGGCTAAGGGGAGGCAGGCCTGGGGTCTTACCAGGCGCTTCTTGGGTCGGATGAGGGGCCTGTTCTGCCCATTCATCTTGTGATAGAGGCCGCAGGCATTGCACAAGTAGTGGCCTGTCCTGTCCCGTCGCCACAGTGGAGTGGCTGTTGCTCCACAGTTCACACACTCCCTGGCCTCTGGTGAGATGGACAGAGGGGAAGGGGGAGCCAGGCTCAGCACAACTTTGCCTTGAAAACCCCCACCTCAACCTCCCTGTCCCTTTTTGGGAATCTCACCACATGTGGCCAGGGGCAGGGTTCCACGAAGCTTGGGGGAGGAGTAGGTCGCTGGATTGAGGGGGCTCCCGGTGGGAGAAAAGAAATTACTGGGGAAGTCAGGGCCCCCATAGGCACTGCCGGGGACAGGGAGTGATGAAGGCAGTGCAGGCCCCAGAGTCAGGAGGTCCGGACTCAGTCGCTCTGTCTTTAAGGTCTCCAGGAAGCTGCTGCTGCCTTTCCCATCTGGATTTTCTGGGGCCTGGGGAGGTGAGTCCTCACGGGTGGGGCACACAGTTGAGGGAGGGTACAGCCCGGTCTTGCTGTAGGCCCAGCTGGCATATGGTGAGCCCCCTGGGATCCCTTCCATACAGTTGAGCAATGGGTATACCTGAAAGACTGTTGCAAGGGTGGGTATGGGAAGGAAGAAAGAAGAGGACAGAATAGTCTAAAGCCATCCTGCTTTCAGGGTGCAGTGGTGCCCAACAGCCCCAACATGGTGGCCAGCTCGCCAACCTTTCCATAGGTTGCCAGAACAACAGCTGCTGGCCATTGGGTGACTCCTGGATCCTAAGCCCCACTGGTCACCCTGGCAACGGCAGTCACCTCCAGCCATTTCCAAGTGGGCTTTCAGGATGACTGTTGGGATTTGGAGCCTCATGGCACACTTGACAGCTAGGGCCACCACCACCTGCTTCCAACACTGTTTCCCAGTGTGGCAAGCTAATGAGCATGGGCATTCCCAAGTCTGGACTTAAGTAAGGGAAGTGGTCAGCACAGTCTTGTGAAGGCTTCCGGCCATTTTCAAGATGTCCTCCTTGTGGGATTCTGCCCTAGCTAAAGGTCTCCATGGCAACTCAATAGGACGAAACCAGTGCCAGGACAGCCACCCAAAGGAGTTACCTGGGGAGTGTCTGTAGGCCTCAGCATCCCTGTAGTAGGCCAGTGCGGCAGCTGCAGCTGAGGCGGTGCTCTGGGCTGTGGAGGAGGCTGCTGCATCCAAGCCATCAGGCCCAGAGGGGAAGAAGACCCCAGATTCTGGTGGCGAGGACACCAGGACAGGGTCCACAAACTGGGGCAGGGGCTCAGAGGTCCCCAGGGCTCCCAGGCCAGGGAACTCCATGGGGCCTCTGGGGTTTGACCTGTGCAGACAGGAGGGGTCCTCAGACACAGAAATCCTCCTCCCTCCCTTCTCCACCCCGTCTTCCTTTATTCCTCCCTCCTCCCACTCCAGCCTTCCAATCTATATCCCTCCTTTCTATCTCCCTAGTTTCTTCTTCCCCTTCTTCGCCCCTCCTCTTCCTCTATCCTTCCTTCCCACTACTCCCTCATCTCTTCCTTGTCTTCCACTCTCACTCCCCATCCTCTCACTCCCCATCCTCCTTTCCTTTTCCATTCTCCTCCCCTTCTTGCCCCATTTGTCTTTCCTCTCTTCCCTCCCTCCTCCTCTCCTTCTACACCCCTTTCTATTCCTTTCCCTCCCCTTCCTCCCTCTATTCCTTTCCCTTCTTCTTCCTCTTCCTCCCTTTCTTCTCTTTCCTCTCCCTCCTCCCCCCCTCCCATCTCTTTTTTCCCCTCCTCTCACTCAACTTCCCTTCTTTCTCCGCCTCTCCTCTTCCCCCTCTTCCTTCTCTTTCCACTCTTCCTCCTTCCTCCTCTTCCTCCCCCCCTCTTCTTTCCCTCCTCCTCTCTCTCTCCCTTGACCCCACCTCCTCTTTCCCTGGTCCCCCTTCTCTCCCTCCATCTCTTCCTTCTTCTCTCCCTCTCCCCTCAGCCACCTGCTCTCCTTCTTCCCCTTTCTATATCTCCTCCCTCTCCTTTTGTCTTCCCCTCCTCTCCCTTTCCCTTACCTCCTGTCTCCTTCCCTCCTTTTTCTCCATCCTTCTCCTCTCCCTCCATTTCTACTCATCTCTTTCTCTCTCTCCTATTGTCTCCTCCCCCACTCCTCCTTCAGTTCTTTGTCTCCCCCTACCCCCATTCTCCCTCCTCCTCCCCCTCTAGAGGAGCCTGGGTGGGGTGGGCTGGGGTGCAGAATCAGAGTCCCTTGAACCACTTGGTCACCCCCTAGGACCTTGGGGTTCACCCTCCTGTGCTCCCCAACTTCATCCCTATCTGTTGCATCTTGCCTTCTGACTTTCTCAGAAACCCCATGGTTTCCGGCTTGACTACCCCTTCCCCCACCTCCGTTGGGTCCGCAGACAGAGTTCCTCCCTGCTCCATTGGGGGGGGTCAGTACCCCCACTGCTTATCTCTGCCATCCCCACCCAACTTTTGAAATCTCCCCACGGCCACTAGCTTCCTCTGAGGAGGGGGACAGGTGGGAGGTGTTCCCTTTACCCATACCCTGTCCCCTTGGGGAGGTTGGCCATAGTTCTGCTTTCGGGTTCCTTCAGTTCTCACCATCCCCAGGCCTCAGTTTCCCCATCTGCCAGATGGAAGGTGGTGACAGGGCCAAGCTAAGACCTGTGAGATGGCGGCTTGGTCTATACAACTTTGCCTCTGTACTTCCCTGTGTGTATCTCTGTCTCCCTGGGTCTCTCTTTCCCTGACAATCTTGTTTCTTCTCAAGCTTGGCTCTCTGCATTTCTCACCCATTTTTCTATGCTACAATGATATATCTTGTTCTGTCTTTCTGTGCTTTTATAAATGTCTAATGTTTTTCCTTCCCTTTCTCTGTCTTTCCATGTCTCTGTCTCTGATTTTTTCCCTCCATCTTTATCTCTCTGTCCTTTCATCTCTGTTTCTCTTTCTTAGCTCTCTTTATCTCTTTCTGTTTTCCTTCTCTCTCCCTTTCCACTCACATTTACATCTCTCCCACTCCATTTCTTTCTGCTTGTTTGTCTCTCCCGGCTCTCTCTCTGGGCCCTCTGGCCTGATTTCCATGTCTGTTTTATTATCCCCCGATCCCTGACCACACCCCACTGCACACAGCCCTGAATGATGAGCCAGGAAACCTACCCCTACCCCTGACTTGCCCTGTGGATCTGAAGCCCTTGTTTTCCCTGTCTGTGGAGTGATGGAGATAGCGTGGAAGGCCGTCTTCAAATCCTTTGCCTACGTGACCCATTGGGTAGACAGGCTAAGGGTTGGGCCCGGGGTTGGGGGATGTACTGGGAAAGAGAAGGGCCTGTGGATGTGCCCACCACCAACCTAGGCCCCAGCAGCTCTCCCTGGGGAGGGCATCTTGCCTCCTCATCTCGGCTTCCAACTCTTTCCTTTGGGTCTCTCCAGGATTCTATCTATGATTCTCTCTGTGTTCTTGTCTCACTCTTCATTTCTGTTCCTGGGTCTCCCTCTCTCCTGCTGTCTCTCTGTCTCTCTTACTGATTCTCTGAGTCTCTCTCTCTGTTTCTCCCTTCTCTCTCTGCATGTCTCCGTCTCTTGCTCTTTTGTCTCTTTTTATCCCCATCTCTCTTTGTTTCTCCCTTCCTTCTCTCTCTGTCTCCCTGTGTGTGTCTCTTGCTTTTGGTCTTTATCACCACTGTTTCTTTATCCCCTCATCCTCACCTCATCCCCCATAATCACCCTCCAGCCCCACTGCCCCCTGTCCCTGCACCTGACACCTTGGTGGGTCCAGGGCTGCCCACCCCTCCCGTGGCGGGGGCCCAGCCCCCTCCTACCCCCAGTTATCACTCTCTGGACAGAGATAAAGTTTATCTCGAGGCTGGGGGATATGAAAGCTCCTTATCAGCTGCCCCACTAGAGAAAGTGCTGCCCCAACGGGCAGTAGACAGCAGGCCGGCACCCTCAACTCTCCCTTGGCCCAGCCCCTCACCCAAGGTAATGACCCTCTCCCAGTCCTCAAGGGAGGGTCCCTCACGAATGAAGGGAGCAGACATGGAGTCTGAGGGCAGATGCATCTTGGGAGGGTTTAAGGGTCAGATATGGGGCTGAGGAGTCAAGAGAGTTTTGGGGTATAGCCATGGGGGTTGTGGAAGCAGAGACAGGGCTTGAGGAGCAGAGACAGCCTTGAAACGTCCCATTTTGTGATCAGAAATAGGTTAGGAAGGCAGAGACAAGGTTGGGGGTCAGGGGTGGAGTTTGAGAGTCAGAAGAAGTTGAGAAGTTGGAGATGTAATTTGGGGGTCAGATATGGATTCTGAGAGTCATGGAACAGTTTGGGGATCCAAGGGTTTTATTAGAGCAGAGATGGAGTTTAGGGGTCAAAGATCGTTTTGGACAGGAACAAATGTGTCTGATGATTAGAGATGGGTTATGGGAGTACAGGAGGAGTTTGAGAACAGAGATAGAGTTGGAGTAGGGGAAGATTTGGGGCCACAGAGGAGATCTGGAGAACAGAAGACATTTTGAAGCTGAGATGGGGTTTAGGGAAGGCAGACACAAGGATTTATGTGACAGAATAGATTTGGAGGAGTAGAGTTGGCGTTTGGGGTAACAAAGACATTTTCATGCACAGCCACGGGGTTGGGAGTGAGAAATGGTTTTGGGGTATAGAGAGAAGTCACAAGGAACAAATATAGGGTTTGAGAGGCAGAAATGGGAGTAAGAGGATGGAGCTAGGGTTTGGCGGGCCAGAGACAGGTTTGGTGGGTCAAAGAGAGAATTGGGGCAGAGGCAAGGATGGTGTGGAATAGATAAAGGCCTGGGGAGCAGAAATAGGCAGGGGGCAAAATTGAGTTTTGGGGGCGAATTTGGAGATAGAGACAAGTTCGGGTAAGTAAAAACCAGATTTGAGGCAGGAGTGGTATTCAGGGAGAAGAAAGAATGTTTTAGGGGGCAGAGATGGGTTATGGGGAACAGCAGTAAGAGATCAGGGGCACATAGATATCTGGAAAGACATGGATGGGAGTCAGGGCAGAGAGAGGTGGGGTAAGGGGGTAAATTTGAGGTAGAGATGGGGGTTGGGAAGACCGGGAGGAGCTGTCAAGGGATTCGGGGGTGGTAGACACTTTGGGGACCAGCAGTGGGTTGGGGAGTCTGAAGCAGGTTGGAGAAGTAGCTTTGGGGTAAGGGGCAACAGACCTGGGTTTTGCCTTGCTGGAGACTCTTGGAGGGGCTGAGACTGACCTGGGTTGGTTGGTGCGGAGGGTTCAGCTGCTTTGGGGATGTGGCGAGCTCAGTGTGAATCCAGGGGATGTCCTGGCTGGCCTTGGCCTTTGAGGTTCCCTTCCTCCTTCTCTCCCTCCCCGCCTCCCTCTTCTCTCCTCCCCAGGGAGTGGCTGGCGCCCTAGTGGGTGGGGCGGGCCAGGGGAGGGGGCGGGCCCCCTGCTGTTGGGGCACCTCTTGGGCAGTGGGGGCCTTCCTTCACCCCACCTGCCCACCCTTCAGATTCTTGGACCGTGTTTGACTTGGGCTCCTGAGGACTTCATTGTCCAGCCAAACAAAATGGGCTAAAGCCAAGAAAAAATGTAAATAGCAGATATGGCTTCATGACTCTGCTGGGCCTTTGTGTTTGTAAAGCCCCTACTGTGCCCTGGCCCAGGTGTGGGCTGGGTCCTTATGCATGCACATCTTCACGGCCACAGGGAGAGAAGGGATGTGACTGTACCCATTTTGCAGGCAAGAAGAATGAGACTCAGAGAGGTTCAGTGGGACTTGAACCAGAGCCTGTAGGACATCTTGACGACCCAGGCCCAGCACAGGGGCCAGGCAAGGGCTGGCGGGAGGCAGGGGCACACTCACTCAGCACCCCACTGGGGCTTACGCCAGCTCTGGCCTGCCCTGGGGCAGCAGATAAGTCTTATCAGATGGAGGCCACTGTGGCTGTTGGCTCCGGTAACTGGCTGTCTTGGGATGGGGGCGGGGCTGGGGGTGCACACAGGGACAGCGGCTTCAACTTCTTGCCCGCCATGCTGCTCTGGAGGCGGGAAACAGGTGGGACCCAGAGTTGGTTCCCCTGCTGATCCTTGAGGAGTGGGATGGGGTGGGGGAAGGGAAGGAGAAATGAAGGGATAGACAAGGGAGAGAAGCGGCAGAGAGACAGAGACAGGGAGAAAAGGAAATGGGGAGACATAGAGAAAGAGACCCAGAGCTGGAAGGAGGCAGAGGGCACAGAAAGAAAGGAGAGACAGAGAGAGGGAGAGAGAGACACAGGGAGAGCCAGAGATAGTTAAAGACAAAGAGAGGCAAAGAGAACGAGAGACGGAGATGGACAAAAGGGAAAGATAAAGCCTGCAAATGACAGAGCCCAATGACACAGGTGCAGAAACAGTAGGAGACAAAGTTAATGTTGTAGAGTCTGAGAGGAAGTCCATGAGACCCCAGGTGGCGAGCTGGGTATTGTCCTGGGCAGGAGGTGCTGGGGTGGGTGGGACAGGGGAATGTGGATTGGTGTGGACCCATGTGGCTTGTGTCTCTGCCCTAAACCTGCTGAGATGGACCCCCAGAGAGTTGCTGGGCCTTTGTACCTCAGCCCCCACCTTCCTACCCTGCCCTACCTCCCCCAGATAGTAACAACAGTGAAGACAACCAGTGCCTGACACTGTCCTAGACCCATGCCTGGCCTATTCTGAGCATTTTCTCCATGTGAAATCATTAGACACACGCTCACAGAGCATATAGTAGGTGTCCAACTTGGGTCCTCATAGGGCAGGGGTGTAAAACTACCCAGTCATGACCCCAGGGCTTCATGGGACAGGGAGCGCTTCTGACCACCTATTCTACAGATGAGGAGACTGAGATCCACTGAAGGCAGAGGGCAAGATTGGAGTCCTGAGTCAGCGGGGTCTGCTCACCCATGGGCCCACCCCAGAGGGAGTTTTCTCTCCTCATCTGCCTCTCTGGGCCTCCGTGTCCTCATATGCAAAACGGGAGTTTTGAGGAGGAAAGAGAGCAAGGCCATGACTTTGAGTTCATTGACCTCCTGCTATGTGCCATGCCTTGTGCTGAGCCCTCATTGGTAAGAATAAAGGCAAAGACCCCTATGGCTTAAGTGGCCATGGTTTCAGGATATCTACTCTGGAGCCAGCCCACCCTCATTTATAGACCGCCCTATCAGTGACTGGCCATGTGCCCTCGGGCGAGTTATTATCTGCTCTGGACCTCAGTTCCTCATCTATAAAAATGGGGTTACAGTGGCTGCTCCATAGAGTGATGGGGCCACTAAATAAGGTTTAATCTGTCAAGTGATTTTAACTCACTTGAATCTGAAATCTCAATAACCGTTAAGTAGTCTTATTTATTTATTGAGTACCTGCTGTACAAAAGGGATAGTATTTGGACCTGTTTTTACTATGACTACTACTAATTCTAGTACTGGCTAAAAATATGCTGACACCAATACCACTACTAATTCTAATTACTAATATTAACATTAATTCTAATATTGATGTTAACACTAAGACAAATTTTAATAGTGATAGTAATACTAATGCTAATTCTAATCTAACACTAATGCTGTTATTAATACTAATACTAAACTAATAATTCTAATTCTGTCAACAATAATGATAATACTAATGCTTCTCTTAGCACTAATATAATAATAATAGCAACAGCAGTAATGCTTGCCAAGCCACACCAGGCACTGTGCTAAAGTGCTCTCCATACATAGTTTTATCCCGTTCTCACCAGGTCCTTGTGGTGGAAGTGCGTATAATTGCCCCCATCTTCCAGACTGAGAGTAGGTGCAGAGAAATGAAGATGTTCATCCAAGGCCCTGGGTTCCTGTCTCAGCTCTGACGCTGATTTGCTTCATGACTCCTGGGCAAGATACCCTCTGAGCCCAGTTCTTTTGCCTGGAAAATGGGTACAATCATAGAACCCACATGGAGTGTTGTTGAGAGGCCGCTCAACACAAGACCTGCCTGGCACACCATAAATGGTGAGCTCTGTAATGGTAACTCCTCATTGTTGTTGTTGTTGTTATTATTATTCTTATTACTATTATCATCATCATTAGAAACAGCCATTGAAATGTTAGTGGAAAGGTAGAGAAATCTGTCCTCCTGGGGAAGGGCAAAAGCTGGAGGCATGTCTCAGACCAGTGTTTGGCCACTGGACTCATGGCCCATTTCTTCATAACTGGAGGGCGAGGGGGTTCAGGAAGAGAAGTAAAGGGTGGGGAATGGGAGCCACAGAGCCCTGCCTCCATCAAGAGCCAGAAACCCTAAGGCTCTGAGGCCAGGCCTCACCCCGTCCCCTCCCCCATCTTGGTGGAGGGGGTACAGACCCAGAAGTCTGCGGCAACAGCTCAGCCAGCAGGGAGGCAGCTGGGAGTGGGCAGATAAGGGAATCGGCAGGGCCAGGCCAGGCTTTGGGGGAGACCAACGAGGAGGGCAGGCGGTGGGGGTGAGGGTGGGGGTGGAGTGTCTGGGCCAAGCATCCTCCATTTGAGACTCAGCCCCAACGTCCTCTCTTCCTGTCCTCTTCCCGGAAGCCTTCCCTGACTGGTTCCCTCCCTCCTGGCATTTTCTGAGGTTCTAGAGTTTGGTGCAAGCCCATGGTATTTGGACTATTCATGACTCTTCCAGACTGTGGAGTCCACCAGGGCCACAACAGAACCCGACTCCCCTGGGTGTCAATGGCACCTAGAGAAACATCAGCCAAAGCCAAGCTAAGGAGTCAAACATTTGCCTCAGAACCACTGTTTTGTTTAACAGAAAAGTATAAAGGATACTGTAACAAGCATTCACCTGTGTCAAACATTAGTATTTTGCCTTATTTACTTCAGACCCTTTAAAAAAAGAAGTATAATGTTACAGAAATAGTTGAAATCTTTGCACCAATTCCATTTCCCTTTCTCCTTCCATTGCCTTGTGTTTGGTGTTTATCTTCCACATGAGTATTTTTATTCTATTAATACATATATGTGTACCCATAAACAATGTAGGATACTGGGGATTTGGGGCCTGTTTTTGAACTTCATATAAATGGAATCATACAATATGTGCTTCTTTTGATCATCATAATGTCTGTGACATTCATCCACGTTGTTGTGTTTATTAATAGTTCATTCTTTTTTTATTAAGATGTGATTCACGTACCATAAAATTCTCCCTTTTAAAGTGTACATTTCAGTGGTTAGACTATTCACATGGTTGTGCAACTATCAACATTATCTAATTCCAGAACATTTTCATCACCCCAAAAAGAAGCGCTGTACCCATTAGCAGTTATCCCCCATTCCAAGCTCCTGGCAACCACTAATCTAACTTCTGTCTCATGGATTTGCCTGTTCTGGACATTTCATAGAAATGGAATCATACAATATGAGGCCTTTTGTGACTGGCTTCTTTCACTTTACATAGTTTTCAAGGTTGATTCATATCGTAGCATGGATCAGTACTTCATTACTTTTTATGGCTGAATAATATTCCATTATATGAATATTCTACATTATCTTTATTCATCTGATTAATGAACAGTTTTGGTTATCATGAATAATGCTGCTATGAACATTCATGTAAAAGTTTGTATGTGGACATCTGTTTTCAGTTCTCTTGGGTATATATCTAAGAATGGAATTGTAAGGCTTATGGTAATGAATTCTATGTTTAACTTTTTGAGGAACTGCACAAGTGTTCTCCACAGCAGCTGTATGAGGGTTCTAATTTATCCACATCCTCTCCAGCACTTGATATTGTCTCTCTTTTTGATTCTAGCCATCCAAGTGGGTATGATGTGGTATCTCATTGAGGTTTTAATTTGCATTGGCCTAATGAGTATGATATTGAGCACGTTTTGATGAACTCATTGGCCGTTTGTACATCTTTCTAGAGAAATGTCTATTCAAATTATTTTCCCATTTTTAATTGGGTTATTTGTGTTTTTATTGTTGAGTAGTAAGCTTTTTTTATATTTCCTGGATGGTAGATCCTTATAGATATGTGATTTGCAAATATATTCTCCTATTTGTGGGTTGTCTTTTCATTTTCTTGAGAATGTTCTTTGAAGCACAAAAGCTTTTAGTTTTTTGTTTTTGTTTCTTTTTTTTAGTTGAGCCATCCTGCTACCTGTTGGCAGCTCAGCAGCAACTCAGCTCAGGCTGGGCATCAGCCTGCTGTTGCTCAGAGCTCGCACTCTTGCACGAGCTCTTAACCAACTGAGCCACTCGGCCAGCCCCAAAAGCTTTTAGTTTTGATAAAGTCCAATTTATCTGTTTTTCTTTGGTTGCTTATGCTTTAGGTGTCATATCTAACAAACCATTGCCTAATCCAAGGCCACAAAGATTTATGCCTATGTTTTCTTCTAAAAGTTTTATAGTTTTGGCTCTTATATTTCGGTTTCTGATTCATTTTGAATTAATGTTTGTATCTGGTATGAAGTAGAGGTCCAATTTCATTCTTTTGCATGTAGATAACCAGCTGTTCGAACACCATTTGTTGAAAAGACTATACTTGCCCCATTGACTTGTCTTGACACACTTGTCAAAAATCAATTGTCTATAATGTATGAATTTATTTCTGGACTCTTCATTCTGTTCCATCAATCTATATATCTGTTTTTATGCCAGTACCACACAGTCTTGATTACTGTAGCTATGTAGTAAGTTTTGAAATTGGGAAGTGTGAGTCCCCCAACTGTGTTTTTCTTTTTCAAGATTGTATTAGTCATTCTGAGTCCCTAGAATTTCCATGAATTTTAGGATCAGTTTGTCAGTTTCTGCAAAAACAGCAAGCGGGGATTCTGATAGGGATTGCATGAAATCTAGAGATCAATTTGGGGAGTATTGCCATCTTAACACTATAAAGTCTTTTATCCATGAACATGTGATTTTTTCCCATTTATTTAGGTCTTTTACTTTCAGCAATGTTTTATAGTTTTCAGTGTACAAGTCTCGCCCATCTTTTGTTAAATTCATTACTAAGTATTTTATTATTTTTGATGCTATTATAAATGGAATTGTTTTCTTAATTTCATTTTTGGATTGTTCACTGTGAGTGTGTAAATATATGATCAAGTTTTGTGTGCTCTTGTATCCTGTTACATTACAGAGAGAGAGGGGGGGGTTTGTTGTAGATTCCTTAAGATTTTCTGCATACAAGATCATGTCTTCTGCAAATAGAGATATTTTTGCTCCTTTTTTCCAATATGAATGACTTTTATTTATTTCTTTTGTTTTACCTAATTGCCCTTACTAGAACCTCCAGTACAATGTTGAATAGAAGTAGTTGGAGGAGATGTCCTTGTCTTGTTCCTAATCTTTGGGAGAAAGTTTTCAGTCTTTAATCATTAAGTATGATGTTAACTGTAGGTTTTTTGTAAATGTTCTTTATCAAGTTGAGAAAGTTCTCTTCTATTCCTAGTTTGTTGAGTGTTTTTATCATGAAAGGGTGTTGAATTGTGTCAAATGCTTTTTTCTGCATCTGTTGAGATCATGTAGTTTTTGTATTTTATTCTATTAATCTGCTGTATTACATTGATTGATTTTCATATGTGGAACCAATCTTGCATTCCTGGGATAAATACCACTTGGTTATGTTATATGTTTTATATGTTGCTGAATTCTATTTACTAGTATTTTGTTAAAGATTTTTGTATCCATATTCATGAGATATTGGTCTGTAGTTTTCTTTATGTCTTTGTCTGGTTTTGGTATCAAGTTAATGCTGACCTCATACGTTTATTCCTTTTTATTCCTGAGTATTATCCATGGAATGGATATGCCATAGCCTTTTTATTATTATTATTAGTTTCAGGTGTACAAAACAATGTAATAATTAGACATTTACACCCCTCACAAAGTGATGATGCCACCCAATCTACTACCCCTCTGACATTGTATATAGCTGTTACAGTTCTATTGACTCAATTCCCTATGCTGTACTCTACATCCCGTGACTATATATATATATATATATATATATATATATATATATATGTATGTATGTTATAGTTGACATACAATATTATTCAGCTTCAGCTTCAGGTGTACAACACAGTGGTCAGACATCTATACAGCCCATGAAATGGTCTCACTAATAAGACAAGTGTCCATCTGACCCCCTACAAAATCTTTGCAACATTATTGATTATATTCCCCAAACTGTATTGTATATCTCCATGGCTATATTGTGATTGCTAATATGTACTTTCTAATCCATTTACCTTCTCCCCCATCACCATCCCCCTCCCACCTAGCAACCCTCAGTTATTTTTCCATATATTTCTGAGTCTCTTTCTGTTTTTTTTCTTCGTTTATTCTGTTCTTTAGATTTCACATATAAGTGAGATCATATGGTATTTGTCTTTCTCTGTCTGACTTATTTCACTTAGCATAATATTCTCTAGGTCTGTCCATGTCATTGCAAATGGTAATATTTCATTCTTCTTTATGGCCGAGTACCATAGTCTGTTTAACTGTTCATCTGCTGATGGACATTTCGGTTGTTTCCAGTTTTTTCCCTATTACAGCAAATCTGTAATTCATAAACTCATATTTGTTTTTTCTGAGCACCAACATGTGGAAGAGTTTCTCCAAGAGCAGGGAATACCAGTTCATCTACCCATCCATCCACTTAGCCACCCATCTATCCATCCACCTGCCCACCTAACCACTCATTCGTCCACCCATCTGCTGCCCACCCTTCCTCCCTGCTTGTCTCCCTCCTTCCCTCACAGCAGCCAGAGGGAGCCTGTTAAATCCTAAGTCAGATCATGGCCCTTCTCTGTCTGTGACCCTCCTGTGGCTCCCTTGTCACTCATAGTAAAAGCCGGAGTCCTCTCCATGGCCCACGAGGCCCTACACAATATGTCCCCACCACCTCTCCAACCTCACCTCCTCCTGCTCCCCCTCACTCACTGCTCCCTCCATCTTTGTACTGGCTTCCTGCCTTTCCTCACACAAACCAGGCACATTCATGCCTCAGGACCTTTGCATTGGCTCTTCTCTGCCTGGTATGCTCTTCTCCAGTGATCAGTGCAGCTCCTTCCTCATCTCTTCAGGTCTGTGACCTAATCTCTCCTTCTCAGTGAGGTCTCCCCTGTCCATCCCATTGCACAGTGGAAACTGGCCCAGCGATTTTTATCTGTTCCCTCTTTTCCATCTTTTCTTTTTCTCCAACGCATTTATCATCCTCTAACATACTGAATATTTTCCTTACTTAATTTTGTTTATTTTGACTCTATCCCACTAGAATGGCAGCTCCACAAACATAGGTATGCTTATCTCTTCTGCTCAACGCTCTTTCTCCAAAGCCAGAAACAAGGCCAAGCACATGGTAGGGGCTCAATATATGTTCATTCATTGAATGAGTGACTAGCATGGTGGTGGTGGTGGGGACAGAAACAGAGGAAATTTGTCTTTGTCCCATCTAAACTGTGCCAGGAGCTGCACCTCAGTTGAGATGAGTCTGGGCCTAACAGATCCAAAGGTAGAAAGTGCTACATCCCCTGGGGGAGAGACCAGGTAAGGCACACCAACAGGAGATAGTATCATCTGGGCTGTTCCTTGAAGGTCCCATGGGAATCATAGAGATCTTGTGGTTCGGAGAGCACTCTGGGATGGAGGAAACAGCAGGCAGCACCTGGACATAGTAAGGCGCGTCTAAAAGGATGAGAAAGGATGGGTTCATGGACAGGGAGAAATCTGTTAGAGACCTTGTATCCCAAGGGCCTAAGCCTGGATTTGGTCTGCAGAGATGTTATACACTGGCGCTGACCTCCAAACAGCTCAGAGACCTCATGGGCTTGACAAACACACATATATAACACCGAGAAATAATAACAAAGAGCTCATATTAATTGAAAGGTTATTCATTGATTGGAGCAGCTTGGAAGGACATTCAGACATATAGGTTTGGTCTCAAACCCATCTCAGGTTCCCCCAGCAGGATGTGTGAAGTGCCTAAGTCCTTAGTCCTTGGAGGTCCCTGGGCCTGGGCAAGGTCCTGGAGGGAGGAAGAGGGCAACATTGCAAGGAGCAGAGCGTAGGAGTGCCAGCCTCAATCACGGGGAGATATAGTTGGACACCTCAATCAGGTTTCTGTCAGGGTCTCGGAAGTAGATGGACATAATGGGCCCTTTTGCTCCAGTTCTGGGGACTGGACCCTCCTCAATGGGAACATCATAAGCCTGAAGTGGGAGAAGACAAACATGACAGTCCATGTGTGAGACCAAAATTGAATTCCTTATAGTGGCCTAGGAGACCCCTGTTTTTTTCTGACCTCATCTCCTATCATTCTTCCTTCTCTCCCTCTGCTCCAGCCACATACCAGCTGTACGACCTTGAACAGAGCACCTACGTGCTCTGTACCGCAGCTCCCTCACCTGTAAAATGAGGATGATGATAGGGTCTAATATTATTTAGTAAGTGGTAGAGCCAGAATTCAAACCCAGGAAGTCTAGGACAGAGTCCATACTCAACCCCCATGCTTTCCCCACTTTATTCCAAACCAGACTTTTCACTGATACTTTCCAAAGAGGGAGTCCAGGATATTTGCACAGAATATATTCAAGACCTTGATCTGTGTTTCCCAACAGGAGAACCAATGCCCCCTTTACATGAAATCATTTAAAGTGTTAACAGGAACACCACCATTAAATAACAGTGAGTCAGAAATTATTTCCTTTTCACTCCTCTTTCAATCCTCCTGATTATACCAAGAAAGCCTCCGGTGGATGCTAACAAGTGCTTAGCACCTCCTTAACCACTTGCAAATCTCCCTTTGGAATGTCAGGCCCAGAGAATTCAGGGAATGGAAATCACTAGAATTGAATGACATTGTGATGCTTTTATAGCTATTTGTTTTTACAGTTACCTTCCCTTTGTGCCAAGATATACTGTGTTGTTTTCTTTCATTTACTTGTTTGAATATTTTCTTTATACATAAATATGTGTAAAAATAATTTAGGTATATTTTTTTACAAGGGTGATGTAAAGTTTCCTTTTAAAGTACATTTGTTTATGTGAAAAAAATGTCAATAAAAATAATGAGTAAACAATTGTGTCCAGGTATTATCTGGATGTGAGGAAACTCATTATGCCTGAAGTTGGAGGAAGACATCTCTGGGTTTTGCTTCTGTTTTCACTGCATCTGCAGCAGCTTTCTCAAAAAGAATGTAAGCCTGACTCACCTTGAGGTGCAGGACCATTTCCTCCAAAGGCACCTCTGTGATGAGACATATGTCCAGGGAGCCAGGAACTGGGTGAGCAGCTTTGGGTTCAAATTCCTTTCCCACCTCGTGGAGGTTAAATTTTTGGTCTCCAAAACACAGTGCTTTCCGGTCTCCCTATTTGGGGAGAGAAAACAATGTAGAACTAAACCTCCAAGATGAGCGCGAGGTAAAGCCCCCTATCTGCCCCAACAACGTTAAAAAAAAAGTAGAACAGGGCTTTTAATGAAAAACAACAGCCTCTTTTCCCACCCCAGTCTCATTCCCTAGGGGCAACTGCTTTCAATGTATGTGCATGTGTGTGTGTGTTTCTTCAGGAAATTATTTCCATATCTCTAAATAATGTTTTTACTACCCATGGCAGAGACAGCAATTTGCCTACTTAATATACATGTCTCCTTTTTTCTTAAAAACACAACCCAAATTTCAATGGGGTCAATTGTGCGCTCAGCTTTAAAAACTTAACACTGAGACTCTGGAATGTGTTCTATTGTCTTCTAGTCTTTGATGTGACTCTTGGGAAATCTGATATCTGCATATTTATGTTTCCTTTGTAAATTAGTTTTTAACCTCTCAGAAAGCTCTTAGGATCTTCATTTCCACTTTGATGTTCTATAATTCCATAAAATCATATCTAAGTGTCAATGTGCTGGATATTCAGTTAACCCTTTCCATAAAAACACTGAGAAGTTCTCTTGCATTATTCCTATGGTAATTTCCTCCCCTCCATTTCTCCATTTTTCTCTCTGGAATTTTCCCTATTCAGAGTTTGGAATCTCCTCCACTGATCCTTTAAATTTTTCTCATAGATTTGTTGTGGGTTTTTAAAAAGTTATTTTCTAAAGTATTATAATAAAATTTTACTCCACCTGCAGTTTGGCATCTGGGGAAGTGATTACCTTGAAGGTTATGACCTCCATGCCCAGAATCTTGGAGTAAAACGTGGTGGTATCTTTGATACTCTTTACTGTCATCACGATGTGGTCAAGCCTATGAATAAGACATGGGGAAGGGGTCTGACTGCTGTCCCTCCATGACTGAAAAAAAAAGGAGAGAATTCAGAAGAGATCACATTGCCACTGGTCACACCCAAGTTTCCTGTTTCCTTCTCCTCACCTCCCCCAATGATTATACTTCCTCTTCACCCCCATTTCAAGGGGAGAGTCCGGGGAGGAAACTTTAGTAGTCTTATTGCCCACATGTGGATTCACAAGTGCCCATGTGTCTGCTATGACCACTCTCCACTGTTTTCTTGTTCTCTTTCTCCTTCCAGGGGGATAGAGGTGAAGACCAAGAACAAACCCTCTCTTCTTTTCCTCAAGCTGAAATTCATCTCTTTTGCAAGAAATGACAAGACACAGAGGATGCCCAGCCCTATGAGTACAAACCCTCCGTTGGCCAATTTAACCCAGTCCCCTCCTTTCCCACTCTGCAGCTATGATCACAGAGGACAGGAAAAGGAGGGAGCATCTCAGATGAAATTAATGCTTCAGGGCATGAGTGTTTACAGATCCACCTTGAAACCCAGTGGGAGAGCACACCTCCTCCCCCCAACTTCCCTCCCTCTTCACACTTCCCACCAGGTCTTTGTCTTGATTTGCATTCTTTAGTAATTTGTATATTTGCATTACATTTGCTACAGGATTATAAGGTGACTGTGGTCTGGCACTATTGGTAGCAGAGTATAGTGGTTAAAAGAATAGACTGTGGCCCGAGAATCACATGAGTAAAATCTCTGTGCTTTAGTTTCCCTTTATGTAAAGTAAGCATGGTTTTATACATATCTTATAGTACTATTGTGAACATTTTTTTTAAAATTGGGGAATTGGGGGATGGGAACAGCGCTGGGGAATTGGGGAAGGGGAACAGACAAATTGCTGTTCTTTTGTTCTTCAGTCTAGTTGTGGAGGGCGTTGCTTCACTGGCCCAAGTTGGCACCATCATTGTGCTCTTCCCAGGCGAGGCAGATTAGTCGCCGGTTTCTGGACGGCCGCTCACAGCGGCTGCAGGCCGCTCACCCTGGCTGCTGACTACACATGGTAGCCCATGGCAACCCACTGCCACAGGGGCTGCAGCCTATGCCGTCACCGGTGACTCACGGCAGCCCAGCTCCAGGTCTAGCTGTTGTTCAGCATCTTAGCTGTGGAGGGCAGTGTCACTGGCTCTCATAAGTGG